TTATAACGCCACAAATGTGACACAATAAACAGCTCGTAAAGTTATCTTCTGTTATTAAGCTACGTCTTTGTAACAATAATTCTTTTATATGTGACATATTTATATACTTCGCAAATGTAATATACATTCATAAGAAGGATGATCAAAAATTTCTTTTGTACTGATGAAAGGGAAGCTACATGACATTTTCGTGAAATTAAAATACTCGAAATTATGAAGTCCATATAAACATGAAAAAAATATTTCGGGATTTCAAACTTTACTTACATTCAAATGATCAAGAATAAAAGAATTAATAACTAGGCTAACATTATTTTGAATTTAGGGAAGAAAAAATTTATTATTACAAAACCTCGACCAGAAAAGGTATAGTTACAAATATAAACACAAAGGTATTTGTTAATCTTAATGTACAACCAACTATTTGAGGGAATAATATTAACAACAAATAAGCTGTATTAATGAAGAATACTTCTTCTCCTATTCTATTTACTATAGTAATTACCATTTCTTTTTTAAATAATCTGTACATAGATCAAACAGTGCATACATTTTAATAAAAAATAGATAATAAAATAAATGCGAATCAATAAAAATCCCCTGACTCTGTTCAAATATATTTTTTTGCTGAATTTGCGTTAAAATAATAAATATATTATAAGTTGATAGAAGGCCTGGTGCCTAAAGTTTTCACGATATGGCAATGAGCCAGTGTGATGTTCAGATGTATGTAGTTTTTTACAGCCTATGGAGAAATAATAAAAAATAGTTGTGATGACATGTATCACTTCTTCATTTTCCTCAGTTTTCTTTTCCGTGAAATGGTAAAGAACTTATCTGATTTAGTCAGTCATATAGTCATATAAATGGTGATGGATTTTGTATGGTTATAATTAGAAATCACAATATTTTCTTTATTGAAATTGAAAGCAAATTTCTTATCATCAAGTATAACAATAAAAATATATGATTAAAAAATGTGTGTTTAAAAAAAGCGAGTTACTTAATTATAAGACGCGATCTGTTGATGGCGGTCAAATGATTGCAGTCACTATATTTTCCTATATACGATGTAGTTAGGATATGTCTTATGTGCGTCTGTTATACAGCAGAATGAACACTTTTCCATTCATATTTTATCTGAAAGCTGGGAACATCTTATGAAAAAGAAATAATTAATTATATTTATTTAAACTCAAATCGAATCCCTCAGCGATAATTATCATCACTAGTATTCGATATCTTATCAATATGAATTGATATTAAAACATAGAACAATGTACAAACCACATAAAACGTGAATGAATTGTTGAGAATAATTAGAAGTTGTGTCAAATAAATAAGTGTATACAAACTCGATTGTGACTGGCTTGTCAAACATTGGATAAACGTAGAGGAGCATCAATACAAGAACTAAGCAAAAAAGGTCTGCCCGTGAACACGGGTGACACGGTGGCTGAAAGATATATTAAAATTTTAACAACTATGTAAAATAATATAACAAGCGAAGTAACTTCAAAAAATAAAGCATTTTTAGGAAAACTAAATAAATTTTAGAACTAAATATAAAGAGAGCCGGTTGTCCTTTCTTATTGCCACCCTTTCCTACCATTTCCTTATTCCCACGCAATAAGCTACTTCCTCAAAAACCAAGGGTGGCAACGCATCCGCACCGTCTCTTACATTGCGGATGTCAATGAGCGACGATACTTTTTGACCATCACGCAGGCCGTCTGCATGTTTGTCATCTTTATCAAAAAAAAAAAAAAATACTAAAAATTCCAAAAAATATTTTAAATTCTTTATTGCAAAAATTTAATGAAAGTCAATATAATTCTTGATACTTCCCTTTTATATTTACAGATTATTTACAAGATAAATTTCTATCTTATTTTTATTTTAACTTTTATGCGTTATAAACCTATGTTGTTGAAACAAAGAGCTTTTTGATAAAGGAAACGCATTAAAGGAGATCAAAGGGATTTATTAAGAATTTCCGCTAAAAGGATTTGTCATAAGAAAAATTGTTCACAAAAATGTATTACCTCCAAATATTTAGATACTTTATCCTCATATATTTTTTGTTTTGTTCGATTATTTTAATATTCAATTATAAAGCTATAATTGTATCTGTGAGAAGCATAAATGTGTAAATAATGTCTATGTTTAGGATGTTTTTACGTTAGTGGATTAAGAAAAAGCAAATCTTACTAATATAGATTAAGTGCGTGTCTTATATTATTTCAAAGAAAAGTTTCATTTCTGGAGGATAATTATTCTTAATTACACCTTTGCGGAGTCGAAAACCAAGACCTTCATATGTGTCAGTTATCTTTTGAGTTTAATATAATTAAAGATGATAATGTGTTTGCTTGTTTAAGATGGCGGTACCATCCTTGAAGATGAACTTACTTCAAATAAATTTCATCGATCTATACGAGAATTTCATTATTTATTTAAAAAAAAACTGTATTTTATTTTTTCAAAGTAGTTAATATCTAAACTTATCGTCAAATTAACATCGATAATTTCTTGTCAAACAGAAAAACAAATTAAACAAAGGAGATTAAACCTTTTGACAAAGTTGGAAACAAAATTAGATTTCAATGTTGTAGAAAGGGTTCTCATAATATTAAATAAATCTGTTCTTGTAAAGTACTTTATTGAGATCGACATATTTTTTTCGTATCGACACTACAATAAATGTTTTATGAAACGAGCAGCTCAACAAACGCTTTGTCTTCATCTCTTTGTTGTTTCATTCTTCATATATATTCGTTTTTCTTTTTGTAGTTTTAATATGTACAACAAGTTTCTTGTTCGTTAAACTAGTTCTTTACAAATCTTCAACATAATAATTACTCAGTTCATTCTGTTACTATGGATGTGTTTGTGGCTGCACGTTCCATGAAGATTATTCGATTATTATTGCATTTAACATCACCATTAATTTTCCAAGAGAAACTTATAAGACAGGCATTTAATATGAAAACACTATGCAGTCAGTTGAAAACAATGAATTTATAACAAATATTTACATTAAATAACTTAAAACTTATGTGAATTAAACAAGGAAGACTTTTGACTCGAAACAACTTTATAAATAAATTTTAATTATGATATTCCATATTGTAATTATAACCAGAGTTGTAGGACATCGTGATGTACAAGAGAACATTTTATTGCAAATAAAAAAACAATGAACTGAAACATCAAAAACCTTAATATTATTCTAACCTTACTCTATAACAGCGTACAAACATTATTGGTTCCGTCAATAATTAAACGATCAAGCATTATTATTGATAAATAGATTATAAAGTTTATCTTTCTAGCATACACTACTCCTATGGATATATAAATTCACTAAACGTCTTTCATTGAAATATATTTACAAATAAAAAGCAATTACAATGGAAAATATTTTTATATCAAAAACATATTGAAACAAAACCAATTCTTAATACTTTGTATGTTAATAATTTTTAAGACATACATATAATAGTAAAACAATATGTATGAGACTAGAACAATTTTTTTAAAAGATTCATAGAACAATTCAATAGCAATAACAACGCATTTCGTATTTATTAAAGCTAACAAAAAAACTTTATCTCTGTGGATAGATTTTGTATTTAATATACATAACAGTATGTAATATGAAAAAAGTTTCTGAAGAAGTAAATAAACAACTCAGAAATTCTCTAAGAATATATGGTTAAAAGAATTTTCGTTACAAAAATTTCAACCAAAAACGTTAAAAGAAATATAATTTAATATTTTTTATTATTGTTGTTGATCACAGTTATAATTATTATCGAAACTATTACTAACAACATATGAGTATAATATATAACATAAATAGATTAACACATTTCGAAGAGAAATAAAATAATTTCAACCAAATACTTTCATATATATGTATATATCTTTGGTTATTAAATTAACTTAACAAATAAAAAATTTTACATTTTACAATATACAGTGAGTTTTTCATATCATATTTTTAGAAGAACATTATTAATTTTGCATGAGATATAAATGAAATACTTGAAGTTATACTGAGATTCTTATACTTACTGAGAATTCTTCAACTTATTATGAAGCAAAAATTTAAATATGAAATAACTATCTAGGCTACGACTTTCTATCTATATTTACATTTATTTCATTCAACAATGTTTTTTTATATACAAATAAACTTACTTTCATAAAACTTAGTAAATGCTTTATTGATTTAAAATCCCTTAACTATTCAAAATTTAAAACGTCACTATTTACAACAGGTGGTTAAAAAATAAAATACATAGCTTTAAGCAGTTCTTTTTGAAAGGTAAATAATATTTTAACAAATGTCATTTATTGAAATTTATTTCTTTTCTCTGCAGGAAATCCCATTTAAAGCTCTTAGACTAAACTCATTATGCGGCAAAGTAAGGACACTGTCTAATTATTGTGGCCGTGTTCGTGTTTGTGAACAATTACAATTTACTTTTCTGCTATTAAAATACATATTTACCATTCTTCAATACAGAATGAAGTAAATCAAAGTCTGCTATTAAAAATAATAGCTTTTCAAATAAGCGATTCATTTTAGCACAAAATTCAAATAATTTCCTTAATTATCACGGTTGGTTCTAGAAATATTTTTTATTACTTCAGACTATTGTTAGACTAAACTATAAATCAAAATATCAAGTGAATTTGAAGGCAAAATAAAAATTTTACATTTTGTATTTTATATTTACACTCCTAACACACATTTACACAGAAGGAAGTTATATTTGATATGCATTTGTAAAAGTATTGAATTCTTAAAATTATCTATATTATTAAACTATGAATCACAGTATAGACTAGAATTATCTCGAAACAAGTAAAACGTAACATTTTTAAAAGCCATCCATCTCTCTATCAAAGAAGGAAATAGTAACCTTTTAATTATCTAAAAATTTTATATTCACTTTTTAAAGAATGAAAATATAGTCTCCGTTAGTGATTTAAACTGTCACTTCTTCGGTAAAACGACTCTTATCGTCTAAATTAATTATTATAGCGTGAGTCCTCGTGTGACCTGACTTTACACCGCGGATAGTCTCCGTACTACTTGGACTAGATTTAAGCTCACTTTTTTCACTCCTCTCAATACCATTTCTACTAGCTACGTCGGGCGGACGAATATCACTACATGCTGCCTCACCAGAAATTTTGAAGACACCGTTAGGTTTCTCTTCACTAGTCTCCTCACCTGTATCCAATCTTTTCTTCGGAGAATCTGTTGTTACGTCCGTATGACTCTGTTCTGCGTTGCTGTTATCGGTGCTTTTTGGGGGTGTGAAATTTTTCTGCCTGAAAATTGGTGGTGCCTCAAATGGCAAATCTCTTCCACTACTACTGGATTCTTCCCCAGGTGTGACTGCACACATGAGTCTCCCAGCTACAGCACTAAATACTGTATTAAGTTTGAGAGGAGCTGGCTCCGTAGGTATCGGCTTACGTTCATATTTACTCGCTGTTTCTAGCATGTCAGTAATAATGTTTCTGATGTGGTTATGTGTGTCACACCTTTCTCTAAGTTTTTCAAGTTGGCTACATACCTTTTTGAACTCCTCCTATATAAAAACAAATATGTTATTAGACTAGATAATGAAAACACGAAATTTATATATTAATATATGTACATATAATTTTACTTTCAGATTTCCTCTGACTAATTGCTTATATTAAGTTATCTAATGCAATGCCAAGAAAACAAGCTATAAAAGTATGTATACTCGTATAAGTAAGTAAACGATTGGTACCTCAACATCATTTTCTGTCATGTTATCACAGAAGCGGGTTGTTCTGTTAGTTGTCATGATGTAAGTGGACTCTGCTGGTCTTGATCTGAACTTGCCAGTCTTCTCTCGATCGTCTTTACCGTGGCCGCGGAACACCATATAGGCCTACAAAAGTATATCTAGCTTTACATATTAATCAGTATTATTTTTAACGTGTTTTTTGGAGTGGCCCAGCATAAACATCGCCATTCTTTCAGCAACCATTTTAGGACCATTAGGAACATTCACATTGCATGGGTTGTGAGTTGCGGTAAGCCTTCATTAGTAAATTGTTTGATGAACCCCATTTTAATATATAAATTGTTTTTGTGTATTAGTTTTTAGATAACTCATAGTGGCTAATGGCTTCAGTGAACATATTATTTTATTTATCGACTTTGATTTTTGAACAACCAACATATAAAATTATGTTAGAAGAATATAAGTAGGTAATATTATTTATAAATTATACAACTTATGTACTAGTTATGGTTAAGCATGATCTACATAGTTTTAATATATGTGAACTTACCTTACTCCCAAAAATAAAACACAGAAGCAGAGTTACAGTTAACTGCGTGTGACAGAAGAATATTATGTACAAAAGATCAGGATTAGCCGGCGATTTGAGGAACAACCTGGAAAATGTTATAATAAAGAAATCTAACTCTTATTTTAGGGAAAACATAAAAATATATAATATGTACTCTTAATTTGCCTAGTTGTGTTATCTTTATTTCATAAAAGGGTTATAAATTTTGAGTTAATGGTATTATCTTGTAACTTAGATACGGGCCTTCGTTAAAAGTATTTAATAACGTCATTAAAATGATAAACGTAGGACAGATAATAGACGAGGAGTATCGTGTTAAAGAACAATAAGAAGCAATAAACAATAAGCGTAACAAACCAATGGTAATTAAAAATGAAAAAGATAAATACATCTTGGTCTCGAATAAATTAAATATAGCAGTTCCTCGACAAATTCAATTTGACCGAGGTCGTTACGTTGACGCCACCTTTTCAACCCTAAATTATAAACCTTAAATAGTCCTTGAATTTCAAACAAATGACTGCAAAAAACGTTAATGTTTTAATTATTAAATTAAGGCATTTTTAAACATTGCTCACTGCCTTGATTCTTGATAAAATATTTTTTTATCTTTGTCTACTTTATCATAAAAATGTTAAAACGGTTTCCTTTTGTACCTAATTTATTTCTTAATTAGCTCTTAATAGATATTACTCAGGAGTTTTATTTCTTCTAGTAAGTTTTGTTCCCTTATTTCAAAATAAATTTAATCTTTTTTTTAATTACCTTTGGACTCACCATAATGATTGTAAGATTTTTTTAGTCTTATAATGTTATTTTAGAAAACTCACCATAAAAATTTGTGTATTGTAAGCATTAATTTTTTTTCCTACTAAAAAGATCGTTAGCATATTGTAACTGTCAACTCCATATGAAAGAAAAAATCTCTGTTAGAAGAAAATAAATCACACTGAAATGTACCTTTATCAGAAATATGTAGTTTGCTGAGTTCGTATATGAGTGTGGTAATAAAATCGTGAAATCAATATCGCTTGAAGTAGCTTGAGACGGTCCTAGAATCTAAATGCTCTATTTCAAGTTGTTCACGTCATTACTTTTACGTATTTGAAGGCGTAACAAGATTATTTGAAAGTCATTCTGTCTCTGTGACGTTAGGAAGTGACGATACAACTGAATATGGATAATAAATAATAATATTGATTCCATTTAAAACACTTAATATCAACTCATCCTTAATAAACTTAATCAACATATTTTTATTAAAAAAAACTTTTATAGAAAAGCAAAAATTATTTTGTACAACTGTGTGATTAATTTCAATATGACATTTTTGTGATCACAACGACAATATTTGGGCATAGATAGAAAATAAAAATTTACTCACATTGAAATATTAAGGAAAAGTGAGAGAAGAAATTCATTGTAGATGGCCATGGATATGAAGCGACTCTCATTGAATTCTGATGGCGCTTTCCGCACCATGATACATAGTCGAATACCCCACATCAGAAAGATCACCTCCACTGCAACAAACTTTTATATCATCATACATATTAAAACTAAAGTTATGTTAAAAAACTTTCACGATTTTTTATTTAAGGATAATATAAAAATAGAATTTCTGCAGAAGCAGAACAATCACTCAGCTCAAAAGATATAACAGTTAATGTAAATATCATTCTCAGTTTTATGTCATTTTTATGGTGTCGTAAAATAGCATTATAAATGTTATACTTTTGGTATGATTTAAGATCATTTTTATCAAGCTCTCTTATATGACATGTGTCGTAAATGCTAAAACATTTTCTCTTCTCTGAATATTAAACTTTAACACTTCCGAGTAAACAAATAGTTCTTTCGGAGTAGTTCAGTAACCGTCTTACTTAGTAATTTCCTTATAAATAAATATTCATTAATCTGATATACTTTAATTTCGATACGAGTTATTGGTAAAAATTCAGACTGAGTTTACAACTTTGCAATTTATGTCGTCTCATTTATAGTAATATATTATGAAATGACTTACATGTAGTAAACGAGTGGTCCCACCAGTCTGTGTCACATAGATATGCTTTTAGATCATCTTTGGTTCGTCCAACGATGACGGCAGGAGGCGCTACTAATGTTCGGATAGAAAGTAACACGCACGCCGCGCCCACGATCACTCCGATACGACGGAGCAAGTACATGTCAGATATCTTCACCGCCCTGGCTGACCTTACTTGAAATATCACTGAGATTCTGGGAAATTACATTGTGGTGTGAAATGTTGAATATTCACTTGGTCACTTTGCAAGAGGACTGTCGGTACTACATATAAAGTTATATTTTGAAAAACATAAAGATTATGTTGACGTTTAATATTGTAACGATAAAACTTAACAAAACTTTTAAATAAGTACTGTACTATAAAAAATAGTGTTCCGAACAAAATCGAATAAAGCATTTTATACATATACTTTAATTATGATCGGAGGTTAAAACGCAGCTTATGTTTTGTTTGTATAATACTCGTAATTATTATTTGGTATTAAGCTCATCTGATACTAGTATATTAATAAATATTTTCTAAATTGTAAAACTTAAAAACATTTAAAATAGCAACACAATATGTTGAACAATGTAAATTTTTGTATTATTAAAGTAACAGGCATGTCAGGAACACGTTGTACGCGAATATTAATAACAATAAATATGAATGTCTCTAAAAATATTTTTATGTTACTATAAAATTTTATCACTATTATGAATATTGCAGAACTTTTCGCGGAAACAAATATTCCGTTAACAAAACAACATCTAAATGAATTTAAAGAGTGTCCCTTCGACAAAATTCAGAATTTAATCGTTACTGGAACTTTGCATTCAAACGATTGTATTAGCAAATATATAAGTATTTGTTACGTGTGAAGTATGGCATTTGATAACAAAACTTCCATCAAACGCGACTGTATATAATGTACTTATGTAAATCGATCAAGCATTTTAAAGGTTACTATAGAAACACTTTCTATTTATAATATTAGTATCACCTTTGTTTTTTCGTCAACATACCTACAGAGCCTCTTTTATAAATTCCCTTTCTTTCTTTTATCAAATTTTCACATATCATAAGATCGTATGTATACACCGCCTACACACATTTTAGGAATTTCACTACCAGTGCTCTATGCATTCAAGCATAATGGATTTGATCCCTCGCCCCAAAAATATGTGTTTGATGAATGCTTATATTTTCCGGGTACCAAACAATATATTGTCTATAACAATATATCATTCCTTTCCGTTTTTTTTTGTTGGGTCAGCAAGTATTAGGGTTCTTTATGGAAGACTATCTTTCAGTATAATATTACCTTTCGGATGCTATATTCCAACTCTCTAAGGACACATCTTTAAAACCTACGCTTCAATTCTTACTAATTTGAAATTTTTGAGGAGGCACATTGAAATCAAGAGACGGCCTTTTAAATTCGTTTAACCAAAAAAATTACTAATAAAATCCAATTTTTGTTCATTTAATGCCTTTAGATCGAAACAATTAAGCTAGTCAACTGTACACTATTCTAATTATGAAATTAACGCGGACAAAGTCGCGGGCATAAGCTAGTAATAGATAAAAGTATCAGAAAAAGTTTTATAATATACCTTAGAAATATCAAGAAGAATAGAAAAATATACATATGTCAAACACGTACACAATTCTCAAATTTAAAGCATCCAAATACGCTTTATTTAAATGAGCATTACACAAACACTTAGAATTTTCGGATACCAACTTGACTTATTAGTGAAGTCAGTTAGTCACTCTTTCACTTAGCTTTGTTATTCATCGTCAACCGATATCCCACTGTCACAACAGCCAATGATTGGACCTCATTATAAAAAAGTCTGTTGATTTGATTGTTCTAAGACTTTAATATGTTCTGCATAATTTTAATATTTCATATGATTATCTATTTCTGAAATACATGATTTATTTACGAGCCTTAAAGAAATTCAAAGCACTTTTTTGTGTCCTTAATTTTTTCATTTTATTTTTAAGACCATATATCGAGTGGGTTTGATAGAACTAATACTGACTTTATTTTGACTTTTTCATTGATGTCCTCGGACATGTCGCAATAAATTTTGTAACCGGGACAAACACGCGAAACATGGAAAATGCAGTTATATTTTTAACATCTATAGATATCTGTTATCTATGTTAATTAATCTCGCATCAATTGAAAGGACATTACTTAAACCCCAGTTTATTTAAAGTTATATATAAATATATAACTTTTAATATACGTATTTATTATTGTTAATAACTATAATATACATATAACCACTTGTGCTAAATTACCCTTTTCTTCTTAATTTTTTAAATGTTTGGTTTCAATGATATTATTCAAATTAAAAATTAAAATCGGTGAGACTGCTCAGTCAGCAAAGTATTAAAATTTCAGACTTCATTTACTCCTTTTTTTTTGTCTTGCACTTTGTCAGACTATTTGTAAATTCTAATAAGCTTAAAATAATTCGTTTAACACAAACCGTCGCATTCCGACTTACTATTTTAATAAGCTTGCGGTTTTAAAGTCTTGTAATATTCATCCTTTTCTTATTGCTCACACTAAGCTAAGTGTTGTTAAATGTCGTATACTCTACCAGAATTTCACATAACATGGAATTATAGTGTTAGAATTTTTACTATCCTTTTTTATCGTAAGTGTAGATATTTCGTCATCTCATTTATTTCCTAATCAATTGTAGCAATAAATGAATAAATAAAAATAATATTGTATCGCAGCTCACCTCCACGTTTTGAGCATCAAGGCGCCGTATGTCAAACAGAATCCGACCTCTCTAAGCCACACTCTTGCTGTACAAGTGAATCGGGTCGGTCGTCCGTACATCACCAGAGTCGTACAGTATATCAGCGCTGCTCCTAACACGATCATGCGGAGTAAGGCTGGACTGGCCGCACGAACCACCTGAGAAGAGGATCTTGAAGGGACCTTATTCTAATGGAGGATACTCGAGTGCATGTTTTGGTGCGATATTCGGTATGATTGATAATAAACTATGTAGTTTTGTGTTACAAATGACTTGTCATAGCCGTCATTCTTCTTCCACCTTTAGCGTAATACATTTCTATCACCATAAATTACAAATATTTAAAATATTGAAATTTTTCTATTCCTTTTTTTTATTAATATATGATTTAGGACAGATACTGGCAGTGTAAGATTTTAATGTCTATTTAAAACGTTATTAAAGTAATAGTTCTACATATGTTGATTGTTACTACGGGAGTGGTACTGATTCTTGATTCTTGGTATTATTGAAGATTTTGCTTATATTTTGAGATCTTAAATCATTACTAAAGGAGATGTTATGAAATTCTTTCAGAGAATGCGTCTATTTAATGTAGACTTGAGTCCTTAAAAGTATAGATGTAATACGTTCGTTCGTGTATTAATCAAAGTAAGTTATTAAAATATCTAAGCTAATCACATTATAAAAATTACAAAAGTAGTCTTGAGTTATAATCGAATGATGCAAACATAGTATAAAATATTCAATTTTTAATCATGTCAATGTCAGGAACATTGTTTATGAGTTTCACTCCTCTCTTATTTCTGTTAATCATTGAAAGTGAAGTTAAAATAAAAATACTTCAGTTAAAACCGAAAATATTTTTATTTCAAATTTAATCTATTAAATCTTAAAAACCAATTGAATAAAAGAAAATGTGTGTCTACTTCAAATTTTTTAAAACAAATAAATCTGAAATTAATAAATCTTACATATAAGACATAAAAAAGAATCTGTATCATTTAAGTACAATGTATGAGAGAATGATGCTTCTGACGAACCATTTAAGTATCATATGAGTATTTCATTACATGCATATGACAACATAAATAATATAAAAATCTCCACTCACTCTCACATGTCCATATTTGATAGTGAAGTACACGATGAATGGAAGACAAGACAGGACGAGACAGGCGAGTACTAAGATAGTAGTCCTTATGGCCCAGTTGAGTGCAGCCACACAGGGAGAATCGTCTACACATGACTCACAGCCTTCAGCACACGGAAGACACTCGAACGCTAGCTCAGACGAGTACAGACTTGGTTGATCCTGGTGCAGAAGAAACAAAACAAATGTGTAGAATGAAAGAATTCGTTATGTTTTCTTTATTATTTGAGTGAATATGCAAAAGAGATTGGTGAAACTTTTTGAATGTTTTAGTCACAGACAAACACTATGACATATATATGTTCAAAGTGAATGTGACTTTTATATTGGGACCAGTATATTTTATGTGACATGTTCAAGACTGATTCAGATTTAAAGTTCCGATCACGTTTCCTATTCAATAGTCCACTGTCACCGGCGCTGTGGTCAAACCCGCTACGTCTGTGGACATTGTTCAATGAAAACATTTATTAAAGTACTTTTGTGTTTTATTATTGTGTGTATGTTAACATAAGAACGTAACTACATTGTGCATTAACCATCGGTAAGCGGTTTATGCACCCACAAAGACATATTATATAAAATTATTTTTAATGAATTCAAAATGTATGTATATTATTCGTTACACAATTTACAAAGTAAACATTTTTAACTTAAATGTAAAAATTATTCTCATTTAAAATTATCTGATATAATATGAAGCTTTTCATACAAAAATTTCGGAACGGGTTTTGATAAAACACATTTTAGATATTAGGTATAATATCTAACAGTTATGTTGTTTATACATTCGTTTCAGTTTCTTTGTAAATTATAGTTGTCATAATGGGAATATCTTGTATGACCACAGCTAATGTTTTTCTTGGAAAGCTTTGATTCAGACCTATATGTACATAGTGTAGTTTCAAAAATATTATTAGACATAAAACTTACTGATAGATACTTCTCGTATTCCTCTTCGATGTCACTGCCGTTGTAGAAGCGATTTTCAGAGGTGGTGTTAGGGAAGTAGAAACCGCGTTTGCAAATACAACGGTACGAGCCACGACGAAATCCCAGGCCAGGCACAGGTTTACACTTAGAAAAGGATATCATCACACTTTATTAATACTACAAACTTAATACATTTGCTTTTTAAAATACATACATATACAATAAATAAAATAACACAAATATTTCCATAAAGCTCGGTTGGCAATCGTCTAACTGTAGCAAATATATTTGCTGGTAATTTTACTTAAATACTGAATAAGTCTTTAGATTCAATATTCCTAAGTTACAAAACTAAAAAAATGTATACGGAAATACATTCAAAAATAAGATATTTTTATATAAAAGTCGTTACTTTAAAAGTTACCCACTATAGATAGATAAGATCTGAAATAAATAAATGAAAATAAATTGATACATATAATGTTAAGGCCCCGGCTACAATACACAAACATTATTAAATTTCAATTTATTATAAATGGTCATATAAATTTTATTTTGACCTCTTTTGCCCTCAACATTTTATTCTATATAAAACGAAACAATGATGACACATGTGTTTCGTGTGAGAATTTTTAAGACCTTACTTTTATGTTTCACAGAAATGTTCGAAATTATTTACATAACGATTCAATTTGCATTTTTTAAATTACGATCCATACAGACTTTATACGAGCTTATTGATTAATTTACATTTTAATTTTTTTTTTTTTTTTTTTTTTTTTTTTTTTATAATATAGGGGGCAACCGAGCAGGCTAGCAATCCGATGACATATGATCACCGCCGCCCATGGACACTCGAGCCAGAAGGCACCAGAGTGCGTTGCCGGCCTAAATAATTATTAATTTCAACCCACAAGTACACATTATAAACAAAGACTGATGGAAAACGTTCGTGAAGTGAGTTCTGTGCCTTAGTTCAACAAAAACGAGTTTTGTCTCAGAAATATACAAAAAATATCACATTAATACGTTAACAATTATAATGAAAACACAATACACGAAATGTATCATATTTCAAAGTTTTTTGTCATGGAAATAAATGTACTCTTTGAATTTGCCTTAAATATTTGTACACAAAGCATTATACCACATATTGTTTTAATTTAGAATAAAATTTTTGATGACACTTTTGTTGTATCTAAAAGTACAAAGTTTCATAAAGAAGTTTATTAAACCTTACGTCCCATCTTTAAAATAGAGAACAGATTGAATTATGATATCCTCTGATATATGATATGACGGTCTCCAGGCGAGAGTCTAGACCATCTAATTAAGTAAAGTGACTAGGCTCTAAACAAAGTTAAGCTGAATTATCAGCCTCCATATTGTATGAAGACACAAAAACAAAAATATTAATGAAAGTTTCTTGATTGTTTTAATATTGTAATTACAGTCTTGTTTCAACAATATTTATAACAAAATATTTATGAAAACACCAATTGGTACTACATTTTTTAAATACTTAACATTTAAAATTTGCTTATTTTTGAGTGTGGATACATGAGTTTAAGTAAAATGTTGAACTGATCTTAACATATACAATCTGCTGACAAATTTGAACATAAATTCATTGAAGGGCTAATTCCTTTCCTTTTCAGTCCAATTTAAATTACCTACTAATAGATTTTTATTATTTACAGTTGCAAAGAAACATAAATTTTTATTTATTGTTTTTGTCTTTAGTTTTTCAAGTAAAATCCAATAAAATTACGAGGTATACAACGATAAGTTAACTGCTGTAACTGTGTATTACGTATTTGTTATCCTTATTAGCATTTCTATCAGTTAATTTGTACTTGAATCGTATGGAGTGGATCCTCCTGAACATATTCTTCAGAAACCTTTTTAAGGATGTCCAATTGTCATCTTCATTTACAGCGTCTCTTCAGAGACGTGTGTTGACGTACACTTAAAATATAATGATATCATAATACTTTTATAAATAATTAAATGTTATCAAATTTTTGTTAAAAACATCATTGAACGTGATGGTATTAAACTTTTATGGCAAATAATTCAGAAAACTTTTTCCTATTTTTTGTGGCTGTGAGGAAACCCTTAGTTTCACAATTATAACGTTGAAAGCGTTTATAAAATATTCAACCTATTTCACAGTTGAGGCTGATGACAACCTATTTAGGTAAGTAATTTATTCAGTTAAAATTACAATTGAATAGGATGTCTTTTTTGCCAGGAATGTTAATATTACTTTTTTCATGTATCAAAATATCCAAGAGAGCAATCGAAATAATGTTAATGGAACCAATTACAAAAATAGCGTTTCATTATCACTGAGATATTCCGAATCGATTTTATGACAATAGCAATAATAATTGGTTTTATACAAAATCTCCTCGCGACATTATAGCCGTCTATAAAGCTTTATTATAAGAGGCTTTAATCTTAATTACGTCATAGGCGCAATACTCCACGAGGTTCTCGGTAAAATCGTCCATTTATTTCCCAAGTTGTTCCCAAAACAGTCTTATCGATTGCCCTCTAAAAGTAAGTATCCGTCTGAGTAACAACTGTTACACTAAAGCAATTTTTCGCCTCGAAATAAAATTCCCTCGAGTATCAGATTTTGTTAAAGGCTCTTCTTTGTAGATGTCTTATAGAAATTAAAGTTGACATTTATTTGTAACAATTTCAACCATTTCTATTTCAAAATTATATTAAAAATACGTAATAATTTGACGGCGGATAGAAACAGAAATATCTCGGTATCCGTGTAATAACACCTAACCTGATAAGGGTAACTTCTCTCGAAATATTAAATTGTGTTTTATCAAAAATAATATTTACTTACGACGTATCGAGCACATTGGGTTTTTTACAATCTATTCAAATAGCCATCACTCGCGCGGGGTGCTATCGGCACCCCACGCATTTTTTAAAAAACGAAATGACTTCGAAACGGGCGGGGGCAGTAGCGTGGCGCGAGTTCTCGCAGTGTGAACGTCTATTTGGAGCAAATTTATTTCAGATCTTGTGTTTTTATTTACTATAAAATAAATCTCAATACATCTTGGACCCTATCCTGCAGCGATTGGGCTTTGTTTTATAGTCGAAGATAATGTTGCAGTGAAAAGTGATCAATCTAGCTGTCTGAAGTAGAAGAGGCTGAAACTAAAAAACATTATTATTTTATTATAAATGGCACATCCGTTAACATGGAACCATTACTCTAACATATTCAGTTTCTATGTTGTAAACTCTGTCAAGATGTTGCATGCTATGAATCACTCATGTATGACCCGTGTCATTATTTTGACATGAAAACGTAACTTAAATACTAAATGTGAAATTCAGATAAAAAACTGATTAATTGAGATTAATTAACTTGTTTTCATTCTTTGTTTTTGTTTAATTAGATCTAAGACTTTCGCAAGTTTTTATTTGTTTTTGTTTCTAACGCTTCGTGGAGAAAGAGTTGTTTAAAAATTAACAATATATATAACAATAAATGGAAACATAGAGCATTACTTAAAAATTTAAATCAGAGAATTCAATACATGTATAGCTTTTAACAACAATTTTGCAAAGAATTCGATAAAAATAAAAAGTATAAATTTATTTTAATGTAATTAAAGATTGAAAGTTTTAAGTTATTATTAAATAAAATTCCATTGTGGCAATAAAAAACTTAGTTCGATCAGATTATTTTAATGAAAATTTTAGTATGACATAAAAAACACAAACAAAAAATATTTTTTATTATTAGTTTAAAGATATTCCTTTGACAAATTTATCACAAACGTGCCGCAAAATAAAATGAGGGCTGTGAACGATTATTTTTTAAAGTTATAAAATTCTAAATATTCTAAAATAAACTAACAATAAAGATATAAAATTTATAACAGTGAAAAGGACGTTCTATTTAATAAAATTTCGGCAAAATTTTAAAGGTATTAGGCAAAAAGATTATTATCAGTCCTTATATTTAAATGGTCGACGGGAGTATGTCAGAGGTACTTTCTGATAAATATGAAACTCGAAATTATATAAAGACCTCATCCCATCGTTCGTTGGTGACATCTGTTTCTAGTGTCTTAAAGTCACAACTAGTTTGAGTTCAAACTTGACGTAACGATATTCACCACACACAGCATTGTTAAACTCCCGGCTAGTACTGTTATTTGTGTCTTTGGAAACACTCAACCTAATCACTCGTCTATTAGAAGAGTATCACACATTAAGCGTTCTGAAACACTCATAATTCTCATAGGGTAAAACATATTATAAATATGTGACTAACCTCTGTAGTTGTCTTCTTACATTTGTCAGTACCAGCGAAAATATTAAGTTGAGTGGAGCCCGCCTGCAGGGGACACTGGTCGATGTCGACCCGCCGGAGATCAATGTCTATACCGCTCGTACCCCTGATGATAGGACGATGTGCTTAATGAGTTTTTACGATTAATATAACAATACAAATGTATACAAAATTTCATAAAATAATATGTATGTTTGAAAGTTATACTGGCTTTTGAAATCTGATTAAAACTCATTCAAATATCTACGAGTAGTAAGTATTTTGTGACAATGTAAAAAATTTAAGTGTAGCTATTCGCTTATTTTGAAAAACCTGAACTTAAAAGAAAACACAATTCCATAAGAGTATTTTATGTATGTTTGTGTCACTTATATTACGTAAACCTCACAACGCATACTTTTACTGAAACCAGTGTTATAACCACAAGTATATTGTATTTCGTTGAAACTGAATTACCTAATTCAATTATCAGACACCAGCGCCGTCATCTGTGTCTACTGTCGTTCTGTTTTATTGTGTCTCAAGCTGTTTTATTTAATATAGTAAGTCGAAAAGTAGTCCGTGTTATATTCAAAAAGCTTGTAGTCTACAGGAGCCTAATAAAAAACATACTTGAACAAAATAAGTTGAATTAATGTCAGCTATGTGAAATGTCTAAGGAAGATAAAAAAGTGTCATAAAATTGGAAATAATTTAAATATCTTTCTTAATTCTGAGAACACCGAGAGATTACGATTATATTGGAATATAATGAGTGGACTTCTATCATAGAGTTAATAACAGAATTTAATTGTCATTATGAAGAGCTATAATATAATTTCATTCATGTTACTTTATTACATAAATGACTGAAAAAATATTAAGACTAAAAAACTAAAATAAGGAAGTTTTTCTTCTCTAACGTCCGTCTAAGAACTCTTGTTCAGAACAGCTATAACCGCACACAAATAACACTGAAATATATGAGACTGACCCGTTTTTACAACAATTTATGCAGAGCTCGCCCTTCATGACAGTGGCAGCCTCTTAGGATAAATATTAAAATGAGAGAAAATGTTTATATCATAAAAATATTGTTCCCAACAAGTTTGAATTCTCACGAGTGTAGTTTATAAGAAGTGACACTATGTACAAGACATATGTCATGTTTATAAATTTATTATTATTACCTCAACTGAGAACTTGTTCTAATTTGTACAACTTTTATATTAAACCTCGATTTTTATATGCAATGCACATAATTATTAGTGCATGTAAGTTTAATTACCAATTTTGTAATGACAATTGATTGCAATTTTTATATGTTATATTACATAATTATTATAATAATAATTAATTTTCCAAAAACTGCGATTATAAGTCTGTTTATTTTTTTTCTTTCAACGTTGATATTGAATTGATATTATCATAGTAGATAGCAGTCTCGGCGAATATTTACAGAGAGAGAACTGGATTCCCTGATACCATACAAATACAATACAAATTATTTGCATTTTCAACAAACTTCTAAAAAGGAGGAGATTAACAATTCGTCTATATTTTTGTTTATGTTTGATACCTAATAACTTTTGACTGAGTGAAGCGATTTCAATTATATTTTGTTGTTTGAAAGCTGGAACTTTCCGTTTGGTGTCATTTAAATTTGGTCCAGTTCTGACAATAGCCTCCATGAGAAAACAATATAAGTCTAAAATTAGCATTAAGTATGTAATCGATAAATGAACGAATAACTTCAATGACAATCAATTTTGCAATAAAAACTGATTATGAAGTCCTGATAATATTGAGTAAAATCCTTAAACTGTTCAGGCAGATATAATACACATTGAGTAATAACTATTATGTATTATATGTGACCTTCAATGCCAGAAGACAGATTCCATAATCTTTTTATTAACCTACTTAGAAAGATGAGGAGAATCTCAATTCGTCGGAATGTTTTTTATATAATATGATCCCAGAATTTTCGAATACTCCTGGACCGTTGTAAAAAAATCTTTTTTATATAAAAGATTGCATCCGTCAGGTGGTCTTATGGTTAACAAGTTAAATTTTTATAATGGGATCCTCTAAAAATTAAGGAATTAAAAAAACTTTAGGAAAATCCAAAAAAAAATTCGAATATCTGTAAGACGTCGTGCTGTATTTATTTCTATAACTCTATAGCTCTATTCTGTCTATAACGATTTAGACGCTCATTTTTGTCAATTTTAGACACCTGGGCTCGACTTTATTCCTACGATATACACCTTAAGAAGGCCTCCCTATATTGAAACAGCTGCTCTATTCTAAATATGTGTTTTATAAGTACTCTAAATGGAAACAATACAATAATTAAAATTAAGGAACCGACTTCAAAAAAATAACAAAAAAACAATCAGCAACTTAGAAGCTAATAATAAACCCTTAAATAGTATTTCATTACCTTACTTATATAATAATAAATTCTAAATATCTTTACTAAAATCGATTAAACACTTAATGTACATAGATAAACGAACAATATTTTTATTTATTGTGGAATAATCTAGTTTATCTAATTTATCGTGTTATATGAGAATAAGCGAAAGTTAATTTAGATTTGGTTACTTTTCCGTCTTTCTAATTTAGTATTCTACTATTAGTTTGTAGTTACTTAATTTGTTGAAGACACCGACTTCAAAAGATGATTAGTTACCAAGAATTTGTATATATTTAGTTAGTTATTAGATTATCGTAAAGTAAATGAATATAGTGCCCGTTTATCTTCATTAGGAGTTTAGTCAACTTTTCTTACAGATATTTAGAATTGTTTATTAGATAGATTAGGTTCGCAAATATGTAGTATTGAAGGGTAGAATTATTGTTTGCTTTTTAGTTCCTGTATCCTGTTTTTCTTTGAAGTTTTTTTTTTACCTAAAAATAAATGTATATATTTTTTACTTTAGCTATATGTTCCTCCATTTACTACTTCAGTTTAAATACATTGATTTTTTTTATAACGTCTGAACAAATCATAATAATTATAATATATAATTTAAAATAATATAATGATGACATAACATGATATTTTCTAATTGGTCTGGTAAACAAAAATATGTTTATTTCTTAATATACGTTAGTGTATTTCTTAATGTACTTAATCATTTATTGATTGTAGTTTACAAAACTTACTTGAAAAAATAAGTTCCATTGTTGTAACCAAAGAAAGGCACAGTGTAGGTAAGCATCCAGATGTTACCGCCACCACAGTCGTAGTACGGCTTGGACCACTTCCCATCTTCGTACACGACCGACAGTATCTCATCCAGTTGTCGCTCTGTGTGGGCTGTGTCGTTGTATGTGTATGTGTTGTAACCTGACATTATATATGACATATTAATACCATAGCTACTGTTCAAGTCATTTATCTATAACAGATATACTTATGTATAATATTTGATGTGGAACTTAAACTCTTATTATACGTAAAAATAAGTTCTAGGTACATTTCATTATAATAATAAGTATATTAGGTAAATCTCATTTATTACAAAACCATATACATACAAGATAACTGTTTAGAATGCTTATTAAGTTTGAAATCTAATGCGATTATAGAAGCCTCTAATTATATTGAAGCTAATTAGAACGAAAACCACGGGAAGATAATGTTAATTGAATCCAGACGTCAACATTTGAAACAAAATAAGCCTTATAAGATTTATATTATAGAATATATTATTATTATAAAAAGTAAGACGAATTTCAATGTTGTATATAAGAGATATAAATCTCTTTTGTTTAATAAAGCTCACCTCGTAAAAATTGGTTATTGTTTCGTATAACACGTTCAGCGTTCTTTCGAGCGATGTAAAACCACTCCGACGTATTGCTCAAATATTTGTATTCGACGGCCAAATCTTTTGCCAGTATTGGTCCATCTGGTAATCGATAGGCGAATGGACAGAACAATTGGTATTCTTTATATTGGTTTTGGTCGTAACAGTTTCCGGCAGCGAATATGTCTTTATTAAACTCGACCATCGAAACTACTACAGCGTGCAGTAGATATTCATGATGCATGACATCTCTTCCGCTGTATTTCCACAACCTTGTCAACATGTTAGCTCTATTAACGGCCACATCTGCTTCTATTCTGAATCTTTCCTGAGCGTATCTATCGACGACCCCTTCACCTAAATTCAGATGAGTGCCCGCTGTACAATTCTCACCCAATAAATGTTGAGTTTCTATTAGTCTTAGAAATTTTGTAACAACATCTTCCTGGATGTTAGTTCTCGAAACGGTGTTGTTCGAATTTAAACTTGAATCATTACTATTATTGTCCTTGAGAACACTTTCCACACTTGTATCTTCTAACGACAACTGAGTCTCGTTCTCATAACTTTGCTTCAGATTATAGAAATGATCTACTAATGAGACGTCATCTGGATCTGTCACGTTCCTTGAGATGAGGTCTTTGGAGATGTTACCGAGGTATTGTAATATTGATTCAGTTTCTTTATCTGTATTTGCATCTGGGTTTCCGTACGGTCTGTTTACTATTGAAACTACTGGATCCTCACCAGATTTATCGATACTTTCTGAAACAAATGTAAACTTATTAACATAAAGAATTACAAGTTTCAAATCTGGTTAATGTCACGAAATAGTAAGAATAAATACTTTATATGTCATGAGATACATGATAAGTAATTAATAATTCAGTATTAAAGGTTAGGGTACATTATTAAAGTAATTTTTTTATTTGAATTGAAGGATGAACTAGTTTTTCAATTAATAGACGATGGATTCCTTCGATATGATTGGATTTAATATTCACTCCTTGATATCGATCGTTCAGTTTCACATGTCGTGGCTAACTACCCACTCATCTAATACTAGAGGGACACTTGTCATATTCAAATGATAAGTGTCACATTGATATTTGACGTTACAAAATATATTGTGATTGACAATCTATGGAATCGATTTACACAATAAAATACGATTCTTACAGAATATTAAAGTAAAGGCATATGTAATAATGTAATGACCCATATGTCGATGAATTAATGTCATAACAAAATACATACAAGTGTAAAATAAAGTAGCAAAAATGATAAAATGTAAATTAAGCCGCTGGTGGAAGTAAAATTTGCGTAATATCTGATATTAAATCTATTGCCTCCAGCGGCGGGCTCCATGTAAAGGCGTTTTTCTAATAAAAGGGATTTAGAGAAAGCGACCGGCTTGTAAAATACGCCTTGTAAAAACGGATTCTGTTTACGAGAACAACAAATTGCAAGTTTCATTACGAATCAGAACAATAGATGAGACAACATTGTTTATTGGAAGCAATATCACTAAGAAAGGTTTCTACAAATATAATATTTATAAAATAAATTACTCGTACTTGAACTCACACGAGTGAACTACTAACGTTAGAATTAAAGACATTTTATTTTTATTATCATTTAATTATTATATTCCAACTTTAATAAAATATTCTACAAAAAATATAACGACCACATACAAGTAGAATTTATGTAATTGGATAATGCGAGTATGAGAAAATATTATTTATAAATCTGGTCGATAAGCGAGCGAACGATCCTCTGTTAGAGAATCTGGTTGATAAGATTGAAGGCCGACGAACAAATAAAAATGAGAATGAGAGGGGCGGGGGTTGAGGGTCCCAGTGTCTGAATGAATTGTAGCGAGAGCGAGCTGACCAACCGTTTACAAACCTTATAATATAGATCTTAATAATGATAATGGTCTCTCTTTTTATTATTTATTTAAATCTTACTACAGATTTTTCGCAAGCCTCTCAAAACAGTACGTTTGAAAGCTCTCTTAAAAGAAAAAATGATGCTCATTTTTAAAATGAAAACATTCTTATATTTATTAACTATTATAAGAAAATTACTTCATTAAAATGTCAAGTAAAATTTGAGCGACACTGTTAGAATTTTCGAAATTAGTTTTATTATTAAAATTAAATACTTTGTGAAAGTTGAAATAGTTTTGAAACACCTGTTTTCTTCGTATTAAATTAATCATAAAAATGGCTTTTACTTACTTCGTAACAGTTATGAGTTTATTGTCACACTGAAGCTGAGTTATATTTCCTATTCCTTCCTACTTTCTTGTATTAATGATGGCAATTCCGTTCCACCTGAGTTCCACGCTTTTATATTTCAAAAGGAGAATATAGCGTGACATAATATTATACTTAATTAACTGTCTGTGAAAACAAATATTTACATTTCTGTATGAAAGCTACGAATTTTGAATCACAAGGACGTTTCTACTGTCAGATATATTTTGAGGATAATTTGTAAAAAGACTTTTTTGTGAATTTCTTATCGAATAAATGGAAATGAATGATTCTAATTATTTCTGTTTTAAAAATGGATTGGCCAAAAATATTAAGGAAAGAAATTATTTCTTTCAACAAAATACGTAATAATGATGTTAAGGAAAAGCTTTAAGGAAAAACAGTTTGACTAAGCAAAAGGAGTTTAACCAACGGAATCACGCCGTATTTTTTAGAACGGTGAGAAATAAATGTTAAATAATTTGTTTTCGTTTGAAAACAAGACGAGAAAATTAAAATAAAATCAGTTAAAAGGTAAAGCTCAAAGCATTCTAAAAGGGGTCGAGACGAGAGCTAGCGCTTACTTTAAACAAACCGTATGTATTTTGATGGCTTTTTATAAATAAAGTGTTTGAATCAAGTGACTCATTTGATTCCGACCTTTATTTCTGTGAAAAACGTATTTATATTTTTTATTAGTATATAGCTCGGTGGTTCTCCTAGAGTTTGTGATTTAAATAAGTTTTTCAACGGAGCGACGGCAGTTTTTTCATTTGTTTAAACTTTGTTTCAGCTTAAATAATAATTATGTTATATTTGATATTTTTAAATTATAAAGTAGCGTTAAATATTTAACACAGCGTGTGTTTTGATTGCATATATCGGGTTTATTACACATTCATTGTTTTAATAGAGAGAGACGCCAGCCTCGCTGACGTTACAAATGTCACTTCTTCTAGAACGGTCCATGATATTTTAAATTGAAACTTCAATTGTTCTTAATGCTCCTGTATTTCTCGAAGGTTCTCCATAATAACCTACTTCAATGATACGCACTCACTGAACTCTGAATTCTCAATTCTGAAGTCTGCCGTCGTGCGTCCAGACGTCATATTTATACCAAGATTTAAACATAGTTCTATTCTCCTTTTAAGCAACCTTTGATTCCGTTTTAATTTTAACAATAATCATAAATACTAATGAGGTTTAATAAGAATTGATGACGAGCCTCAAATTATTTTCATGTGGCATTCGTTATTAAAGCTGGTAGCGCCGATATATATTACGTTTGCAAGTTCAAACATTCATAACTACGAGTATCACAAGTGATAAAGTCATTTATACTAAATTATAAAAATTATCTTTATATGATTTTGAATATATTATGCTTTGTTTTTAAAGTTAGTCTTCATTATATCTGTCTTGACATTTACATCGCTTGCCTTATTTTTATATAGAAACCATTAAGAAACCCGAGGTAGATAATTAAATTAGTTAAGAATAACAAAAAATTACCATATAATATAGAAATAGCCTCTGGGGTTCTCTTTACAAAACTTCTAATGTCGATGAAAAAAGTATTTACATGTATATTTTTTTGTACAAAACATGACATGTTCTAAAGAAATTAATACTTGGAAATCCGCTCTCGATTGTACAAAGATACATGTTTAGAACTAACAAAGGTTATGGTTTATTTCAGTACTATTGGAAACGGCACGTAAAAAATCAGGGATTTAGTTATTTTACGTGATCGACAAACACCCTTGAATATATATACCTTTGCATTTATATTATCAATTGATTTGTCATTAAGAAAATAATTGTATCTCTTATAACATCAATGTATTCTTTTTGCAATAAAATAAGAATTTATCTTTATTTTATAAAAGACTATTTAAAGTTTACCATGCTATATATGTAATAATAATAAATTTGTTTCACAATTGCATAAGTGTTTTAAAATACGTTCTGGTAATAAAGGTGCCGTGTTCAAAGTTGGATATAATACAAAAGTTAAACTCAGCAACGTATCCGACGTACATATTGTAGGATAATTCCATAATATTTTAAAAATTTTATTTTTCATACACATTTATAATATTTTAAATCTGCCATCATTTAGACGTTGTATTCGTTTACTTTATAGAAAGGCGTTTTTGTCCACAATACATTCTTTATTAATTTACAGTAACGTTATTATTTGGTTTCAATGAGATGGTTTTTTCATCATAATACAGCTGCTAACAACGGCCAATAAAAGCGGCGTCGCAGGTAAAGGTGGTCATTAAAGTGAAAAATGAACACGTTTCAGGGGGTTTTGTGCGAACAATAACTTTCTGATGACGATTTATAGCTCAGTGTGCGGAATATGAGACCTTGGGAACAAACAACACATATTACAACCATTTATATTTTATTAATAACTAGCTGATGTCCGCGACTTTGTCTGCATGGTGTTTATTAAGCCGACAATTAAAATTTTATAGAACTCAATAGAACAAAATGATGAAACATATGTTTGTATGTACATATATGCATGAATTTCAAGGTCAACCGATTCGGAATATGGACAAATAGGTTGGTTAGCTGACGAACATAACAAAAAACAACACATCGCCTATAGTGCGAGAAACAGCTGATGTCGAGCATCCGCCCGCAGGATGCAACACCTATCTTTGAAGTTTGTTTACCGTTATTGCGTTACACAAACAAAAGAATTTAGTCACTGATCGATATCTTATCTTATATATCTATTACGTTGCAAAGAATTAACTTTTAGTCTAGTTCAGTTGAGAGATTTTAGACTGGTTAAATTCCGTAACAGGATAATAGGGAAGCCAGTTGTTGGTTTTGTTTCCGTATGATAGAAATCTAGAAACAGTCGAAGAATTAAAGGGTTAGGAGGAACCCCTTGCTTAGAAGTGTACTCCGCTAATTTTTTCTCTGTATTGACATTTCCAAGTTGAAAATTAACTCGATACGGTGAATCCCAGTTTGCTATTTGACTGTGGTCAGCATTAATAAGTGCCACAACTAAGTTAACTGTGTGGCAGAGATTAATTATTATTATACAGAACTATTTCACCTTCCTTTTCTGTAAACAATATCTTAGCATTTTTTGTTTATGTATCAGAAAACTCCTTTGCATTATCTCAGTGCTATCTCACTAAATCAGTATCCCGCTTCGCAATCATCTTAACAGGTAGGGCATTCGACACCATCGATCATTTAAAACTCTCTTATTGTGATTTATTTTTAGGGGAGTAATTATTGTGTTTTAATTATATATACGTTACAATAAAAGTGAATGTATTTACAGTTGAAATTAAATGATTTATATAGGTATGTTATTAATGAAATAAGTTAAGAATTGTAATTTAGCTTCTAACAAATTAAGTAAAATAGAATATAACGTAATAATATTTGTGTTTCAATAACGTTGTAATATTCAATATTGTCGGGACTTAAATATTCGCATAAAATTTTATCCTCGATTTC